ACTTGATCTCACAAACATGACCTTAATCTCAATAGCAAGCCCTTTCTTCTCATAGAAATATTAGTTGCAGTATTGTGATTGTGGAGATTTCTAGGGCTGCACACCAGAGTCAGCAGAAGACTGAACACAATCAGACCTATTCAGTGGAATCTGAGCTTCACAAGAGTCCTGTGAAAATAGCTCCTTATCTCCCTTGGGTGGGTCACCCAGAATGATCTTCCAGTGGACTCTGCATTGGGTGGGAAGTTTACAGGGGTTTGTTCAACAATATGTCCCTTACAGGGAACACAGTAGTGAAAGAGACCCAAGCAGGATTGAATCCACCACTCATTACTGGAATGAGAATTGTTAAACTGTACCTTGCAGGAGTCAATGTGTCAGGGAACTGCCATCGGAGCTAGAGGCGGAGGGAAGGCTCCAGAGGGATGCCGGAGAGGGTCCCAGTAGGGAGAGAGGCAGCCCATCTACAGGGGAAGGAAATCAGCGTAACACCAGTGGAGAAGGGGGGCAGATGGGGGAATCGGAGAGGAGGCTCCAGGCCTCCTCGCCGGAGACTAGCGGAGAGAGTACGGGTACTCCGCTGCCCACACCCTCCCTGCGCAGAAGACTTCCGCGCAGGGAGAGTAGGAGGAGACTTGGCGTCAAATAACTTTTATGCTGGAAAAGGTTCAAGAAACGCCCACTGACGGATTCTGCCAGCGACTGAGACAGCCACAAAACTTGAGGCTGTCCAGACAGAAAAGGGTTCAACCAGGTAACCTAGCCAGGAGTGGCGGCAACTTACGCACGAGCAAGCCCTAGAACCATTACACAATGCTTCTGCTTTGGCTTGGAGAGGGGAAGAAAACACAAGTTCTCTTTCCACCTCATGACTGTTACAGTAGAGTTTTAAAACATTTATGACTGATTATATTACTATCCTGCATGTTTTCCCAAAGGAGCCCCAATTAAACATTAGCCCTGCATTCTCACAGTTGTTGGTAATTAAGCAGGCCGCTGTGGTGACCTTGTGCTGCTAGTATCCACAGATGAATAGTGACTGATGGTCCATGTTTGCATTCAGTGGAAATTCTTTGGAAAGCAAGTTCATTTAATTCTTCCTCCTCGAAAATATATGTAATGGGTGCCAACCCAAAGACCCCTGCACTTATTTTCCAGGTTTCATTTGTTATTTTTATTTGATATTATTGGTATTATTTTTAGAATAATTGCATATTTATTCTAGAGATAAAGTGAAGCCATACGCAACAAACCCAGCAAAGCATTCCGTGGAAATTCCCGAAAGTACATTATAAAAGCCTGTATTTCCATACATATTGTTACCACTTCCATCATACAAAAGTTGCTTTTTTGCTTGACTGCAATGGTGCTAAATTAGTTTTGCTGCTGCATAACCATAACTCACTTCAGGCTATCATTGTGCCTAAACATGGAATTATTAAAACTGAATAGAGGTATGGGTGCATAGAGGTCAGCTTTGATCCAATTTATATGTGCTTGGTATCTCCTCCCATATTTTTTCACATTTAGCACAGAGGTCTGAAGGTGGCTTGTGATAGATAGTATGGGTTCTTTACTGGACAAACCAGTTTCTGTATAAGGATTCACACCCTCAAGAAGTATCGATATCTTTTTATGAGGCAGGATTATTATCCTTTACCTCACCCGATTCTGTCCAGCTGTATGAATGATATTTTAAACCCTATTTTCAGGGCTCTCACAGCACCAGCCCAACAGACTTGTGGGATACAGTATGAACCATGAGTGAAGTTCTGAATTTACTCTCCTCAAACCCAAATGACATATCTTATAGAACTTTGAAGCTTAGGAGGAAGGCAGTGAGAAATTCAACTGAATTGCCTTTCAGAACCAAGGAAACCAAATGTTAATATATAAAACCTTTAATAAGAAGACCAGGAAATGGTAGGGAAACAGAAGGAAAACAATTATACACAACACAGGATTGTACATGAAACAAATAAATTCAATCTTATTGAGCTAGATGTTACCTAACTGAACAGAATTGGGTTTCAGTACATGTGAAGAGTTCCTTATAAAATAGCAGTTCAGAACCAAATATTTTTGGGCTCCTTATCATATGCTTATAGGAAAACTAAAGCTTAAGGTAAAGCTGCACAGATTTATAGGCGTCTGAGACCTGTAGAAGATGGTATTCACCTTAACAAAGATTGGTGCCTAGCCCAATCAGGAAATACAATTAATCTGTGATGTCAATGAGCTCTTTGCCTGAGAAAAAAAATTATATGTCCCTAACAGCCCTAAACTGTCATTACTGTAAGCATTGCTTGTTCAGAACACTTGATCCATTGCTTAGAACAGTTTAATTTCAGGATGTGTATTCAGAGACAATGCATTTGGTATCTACCCATTTAGAAATCAATACAGGTGGTGATAATTGCATATATTCTAAGTGGTCCAGTTGTGCTATCTCAATATATTGCCATTCTTCAAAGGACTTACCATACCCAAGTCAAATGCACCATCGAATCTAATGCACATCTCAATTTTCAGAATCTTGGCTTCCAGGTGGAAAAAATCAAAGTTGGAAATAGAATTGTTAGAACCCAAAACTAAGATACTATCAAGAACGTATAATTTGCTGTTAAAATGGAACACTCAGGATGAAACGGTTAAATCTGCTATGATTAAATGGGCACAAGATGTTGGACATAACATTATGTTTGCTGACTGGGAACAGTTGTGGACCACAGGTATGAAATTCACGGCATGTAATGCCTTAAGAGAGAATATTATGAAAATGATATACAGGTGGTACATGACACCAGTCAAGCTTGCGAAAATCTATCACTTGCCCGATAACAAATGTTGGAAGTGTAAGGAAACTGAAGGCACATTTTTTCACCTTTGGTGGACGTGCCCAAAGATTAAGGCTTTCTGGGAGATGATCCATAATGAAATGAAAAAGGTATTTAAATATACCTTTCTGAAGAAACCAGAGGCCTTTCTCTTGGGCATAGTTGGCCAATTGGTGTTAAAGAAGGATAGAAACTTTTTTATGTATGCGACAACAGCAGCAAGGATACTGATTGCAAAGTATTGGAAGACACAAGAATTACCCACACTGGAAGAGTGGCAGACCAAGGTGATAGACTACATGGAATTGGCAGAAATGACTGGCAGAATCTGAGACCTGGGAGAAGAGTTGGTGGAAGAAGATTGGAAGAAATTTAAAGACTATTTACAGAAATACTGCAAAATTAATGAATGTTAAAATGATGTTGGATTGAAAATAAGTGGTATTGGCAACAAGAGTAATAAGAATATGTAAATATGGATTGATAATAGATGAAAATATATTGTTATAATAGGTTAAGATCAAAAGTTAAGATAAATGAAAGAAGGTAAGGATTTGCTGAATCGATTATATAAATGGGAATACAAAAGGGGAGGTGTGAGGAAGTCAAGAAAATAAGCAAATGAGTTTATAAATATTGAAAACTGGATTTGTTTTTTAAACTTTTTTCTTTTTAGCTATTTTGTCTTTTTTGTATTTTGTATGTATTTTCTATTTGTATTTTTTCTTAGTTCTTCTACATTTTCTATGTTTTTTCTTTAATATTGTAATTCTTTGTTCTTATTTTTTCTATTTTGCAAATTTATGTTTTTCTTTGAAAAAAGCTTAATAAATATTTAATAAAAAAATATCAATTTTCAGAATCTTGAAAAAAAAAGTATATACTGCTGAATGTAAATGTGCCACCAAATTTAATGTGCACTTTAATTTTCGCAATGTAATTTGGTCAAAAAAGGTGACTATTAGATTCGAGTAAATATGGTATACAGGTGAAACACGAAAATTAGAATGTTGTGGAAAAGTTCATTTATTTCAGTAATTCAACTTAAAAGGTGAAACTAATATACAAGATAGACTCATGACATGCAAAGTGAGATATGTCAAGCCTTTATTTGTTATAATTGTGATGTTTATGGCATACAGCTGATGAAAACTCCAAATTAACAATCTCAGAAAATTAGAATATTAAATGAAATCATTAAATGAATATTAAATTAAATGAATATATTAAATGAAATGAATCTATCTCATATATTAGTTTCACCTTTTAAGTTGAATTATTGAAATTCAGCACCTGATACAGAGCACTCTATTACACTGTATCTGATACTATGGAAAACAGATTCATGACCAAAAAACAAACAAATATGGACATACTGAAATGTAAAAGACCAGCTTCATCCCCACAATAAATTTGTTTTTTTAGTACCGGTACTTCTAACCATGTCTACTCACATGTTTGCAAATTCCTGCACTGTGGAGGGTCCCTTCCAACTCCACAATTCTGTGATTCTATGTCAGTATCCCAAAGAATGGAGTGAGAATTACTTCCTGATAAAGGGTTAGCATTGCAGCCCTGACTTTAGTGTTTTTGGGACGGGGAACAATGTTTATTAGAGAGAGCTGACTTTTTAGTAGCATCCACTGTAGAAGAAAAATCAACCCTAAATTCTTATGAAATGAAGAGGTAATTTATAATAAACATGACTCTGGTTCACTAATTAAAGAAATTCAATTAGTTCTTCGTATTAGCTGTTCCCTTTTGTTCAATTCAGGCTTCAACAAAATAATGTAGCATTTGGGGAAAAAGATGCAGACCAACAATCCAGCACTGGAGGCTAAGATAGAAAAGATCTCCACAGCTACCATGTATTTCCCCTTGGTGCTCAAGTAGGTTGGAACAAAGGATAACCACACACTGCAAAACACTAACATGCTAAAAGTGATATATTTGGATTCATTGAACGTGTCGGGTAACTTCCTTGCAAGGAAGGCCAAAGTGAAGCTGGCAATGGCCAGGAAGCCAATATAGCCAAGGACACAGTAAAACATTGTCACAGACCCCTCATTGCATCTGAGTATAATTTGTCCAGCCACTGAATCTATATCAGCCTCTGGCAACGGAGGAGAGATTGCCAGCCACACAATGCAAATGCTTCCTTGTATAAGGGGGCAAGAAAGTACAATGGAATTGGCCAGCCTCTTTCCCACCCATTTCCTCATTCTGGATCCTGGCTTGGTGGCCATGAAAGCCAGAACCACAGTGAGGGTTTTTGCCAGCACACATGAAACAGCCACTGAGAAGACGATGCCAAAAGCAGTTTGACGGAGGAGACATGACACCTTCTGAGGCTGTCCAATGAATAGCAGTGCAGAATGGAAGCAGAGCAGGAGGGAGAGGAGGAGCGTGTAGGAGAGCTGCCGGTTGTTGGCTTTGACAATGGGAGTGTTGTGGTTCTTCATAAATGTGAAGAGGACTAGAATGGTGAACAAAGAACTGGAAAGAGCAGAAAAGGCTAAACCTAGCCCCACAGGTTCTTCAAAAGACAAGAAGCTTATTTCCTTGGGAATACATAAATCATGGTTTTTATTTGGATATGTTTGTTCTGAACATGTGGAACAATCACTCATATCTGAAATGGAAAATACATGGTTTAATCTTACAAACATGCCATTAATCTCTCTTTTTCAATTTTTTTTATTGATTTTCACAAAATTAAAAACACACTAACAAATAAACAGATAAACATAAATCTTAACCTTATTGAAAATAATCTTCTTAACATTGTTAAGTGATTTCCTCGTATCCCCCTAGTTGAATTTCAGTGCATATCATTTTAACAGTTTTCCAAAAAACATGCCATTAATCTCAAGGCGTTTATGCAATTTGAATCTATAGCCCTGTTGTGATTAAATATCACATAATCTCCCTCCTATTTCTAAACACATTATTGCTTACCCTTCTGGTCTGAAATCTTCCCTTCTGGACAGGGGATGCAATCATAGCAACAAAATGGCTCCCCTTCTTTTGCTTTCTTGCTTGAACCAGGACTGCACTGCTCACTGCATAGAGAAATAGGTCTTGTCTAATCCATGAAGGAAAAAAGTGAATATTGATCTTGGAGTCATTATTGGGATGGCTAATTTTAAATTATTTCAAACTGAACCTTTAGTCACCACATAAAAGTGGTGATGCAGGCTGACCTTGCCCAGAATGCACTCATTGTGAGGAAGGAACCATGTGCCCTTTCTCAAAGTGAGACAGTGAGGAGGATGAGGTGAGGGTGGGCATTGAATGTGAAGGCTGTTTTCATAAACAGAAGGCTGGTCATTTATATTAGCTGCATTGCAGGAAAAACAGTTTACGGCTCCCCTGTATCCAGCAGCTGAAACAATGATCTAATTGTGCCTTATGATAGTGGCAATGCCACAGTTAAGGAGCGTGGTCATGTCCATTTTGTTCCATTTGAATTATTTAACTCCGGTCTCATTGCCAATATTCAATCAATATTCAATCAATTATAGGAATAAATATTTTTAAAGAAACATGCTATTGTGATGGTATGGTGTCAGGATGCTGTCATCGGCTCCCGAATGGTTACCCAGGAAAGTATAAAGACAAGGAAAGGTTTCCTACAGTCCTTTCTTTATTTCAGACTTTACAGAGAGAGGCTATAGAACCCAACCTCTTGGATAATGGTGTTGTCTCAAGTGAATCTCCACCCTCACTTTTTCTGTTTCCAACTTCCCCATCCATCAATATAATCACCTCTTCTACAGGTGCTCCTAAGTGCCCTCAGTCTTTGAGCTCCTTGCTCTCATACTTTTAAGGCTCACCAGGTTCTGGGAGATGGAGGGTCTGATATGATTTCTAATGACAAGGTGTCAGCCAAGTGTTGGCCCAGCTCTCCCATGATTACCCAACTTTCCCCCCTCATCTGTCTCTGAGCTGTGATATTCAATGATGCAGTAGTCTGAGTGTACTCACTGAAATTAGTGTGCATGTTTGCATTCCCATGTGCATGATACCTGAGGCCAGGTGAGGGGTAAATAAGTGATAAGATACAGGGCATGGGTATTAGGTTGAACTAGGCAAAAAAAAAAATGATTAGAGAAATAGGTAGGTTTCGGCCAAAGTATTTGATATGTATGTGGTATCAAGCAACCCACTTCCTGCCAGTACAGCCAGGGGGAGGGGATGTGCATCCAACCACTAGCTGCGCAGGAAGGAAACCATGGCCCTGGGATCATGTCACAGCCATGCTGGGAACCAAATGCCACTTCCTTGGATACCAAATAAATGCAGACTAACTATACATTTCAATCAATAATGAATATTTTACACATCTTCAATGCAAAAAAAGGCATATTCTTTGTTTACCCAACAACTTATCAATACATAAAATCAAAGACCTCCTGAGGAGGAATTTCATGAAGTGTAACATCCAAGCACATCATTGTCCAGTGAAACTGTGTTTAGAATCAGGACTCAAAATACCGACAATTTGATTGTACCTGATTAAACCACTTGTGCCATGTTATAGCATCCTCATGGATGGTGAACATTTTCCCTGAAGATGTCTGGGGATCCATTCTCCCAACTTCAACTTTATGAAAGGATTGGTTTTGCGAAGCAATCCAATTAATAATATCAAGCCCAGCTTCCAACTCCCCCTTCTGGTTGAAGGAAAATGTTTCTCCCGCACTATTATTAAATGACACACGCCTGAGGAAATGATGAAACTAGATTTTGAAAAGAGAGAAAAGAGATGTTTATGTCAGTTTTACAGATGAAGACAATGCTAACTCTATCCCACAAGGACCAGAACTGTCAGAGAGATAATTTACTGAACTATTTTAACACCAATTTATGGCACACAGCGAAATGAGTCCGCAACCCCAGAGTCAGTCGCGACTAAACCTAATGGTCAGGGGTCCCTTTACCTTTACATTTATGGCACACAGTCTCAAGGGAAATCTGGCCACATTACCTGCCACAGCAGATAAACCTGAGATGTCAGCTTCATATTGTCTTCCAGTAATCTTGAATTGAGTCTAGATGAGGACATGACATGGAGAGCATGGGCCATGGCATAAACAGCATTGTATATACAGTAGCTATGGCCCGTCATGCTCATTTTAAAAAAATTGTGTAGGAAACATCCCCAGGTTCTCCTCTCCAGTGCAAATATTCGGATCCATAACATCTGTGACTGTACTAGGGAAGACACAAGCAAAGGCTTGTTGCCAGAAGTCCTTGATGAAAAAATCACCATCTGTGGTGGAGGGACTTATGTGTTCAAGAAATTTGTGAAATTCTGGTAGAGCATTAGAATGAATAGTGAAAGACAGAGCCCCATGGATTAATTGTGCATCCCAAGTCTTTTGAAAAACTGCAGAAGTCAGCTCCATCATTATCCACACTTTACCTCTTGCTTCCGCTCCCATCTCTTCTTCTTCTGATAAATATGGAAACCATCTAAGAAATATCATTGAGTAAGATTCTCCATAGAAGACTATCACATTGGCATTGCTACCCATTACTTTATCACGTATTTTCGCACCCTCTTGTAACAGGTCTTTCAGTTCAGTGATGAAAGATACTTTGGGGATTCTTTCTATGAAGGCAAAACAGATACCACTAGAGGAAAACATTGGAACTACTGTTTGCACAAATTGTTCTCCATTCTCAAGTTCCATCGTAAGGAGCCCAATCCATATCCACTTGAAATGCAGAAGTAAGGAGAGAATCCCCTCATACTGAAGGGCTTCCTGGGGGACCATTTGGTAGAAGGAGAGGCCTGGAGTTTTATCATGCATGATGGGAGCAGGACCATATGTGAGCTACGTGGAGGAGGGAGCAGAAAAGGAACAGAATGAATAGCTTTAATGGATATATCCAGTGAGTTTTTCTGCAAGATTTAAAAATGTAGAGCAGCACAATAAACAAAACTGCAAAACCATGAGAACTACCTTATCCCACATGTCCCTATGTGACCGCTAGAATATCTGGTCTGCGTTTATAAGAAGATTGGTTAGTTTGGCAGTGCCTTCACCTTGAAACTCCCTGCCTGTTTTAGATCAAGCAGTTAGCTTCACTGGTCTTTTAAATTGCTGCTAAAAACTTTTTTGTTTAAATTAGCCCACTCAGTTGCTTAGAAAGCTGAGGTAAATTTAAATTGTTGCAGTATTCTAACCTTTATATGTTTTAAGGTTTGGTTGGTTTTCTTTCTTTTTTCTTCTTCTCTTAACTGCTTTTGAGGTTTCATTTGCATTCAAGTGGTTATAAGTAATAATAAGTAAACAAATTGTCATGGCTTATAGAGTTGGGTCCCTATGCTTCAATTAATGATTGTAAAATATTTATAAAGATTGTGTTCTATTTCAGTTATGAATGGACGTTCTCAAATGGAATTCTGGGGGCTGGAGGACTGTATATGATACATGACTCTTGATAAAGGAGATGAATGACCTTTGCTTCCCTGGTGTCACTTGTATATTCTTGCCCAAAAGATTTGTGGCTGATTTCATATATTTCTCAATAATTGTCTTCTATGAAGCTTAACAAAGCTGCAACTCTGTTAAATCACATTGTTATCTGCTCTGAGTTAATGCATCTAACCTCCTTTTGGTGAGTGACCGGCTACATTCAAGCTGATCCTCAATTTTCTATAAGCTCAGATGATGAAAAAACTAGAGGAATGAAAAAGTATGTTGTTTTTTTCTTAATTGTATTAATAAATTCAGGAATTTTTTTAGCCTCTAAACCATAAAGTGAAACATGGTTGGCCATACAAACATTAAGGGAAAACCCTCTTAAACCCATTGTGCTCAGCACAGAGACTGTTATACCTGTGGAATTTTGTAGATATCCAAAACTGTTGCTGCATAAAGAGAGGTTAGGGGGTCGAGTCCCCCAATGACACCTATCAAATCAATCTGAGTGTCACATTTGTAGTTGGGGACGAATCTGTCTGGGCTGGACGTAAGGAGCAGTGTGGCATGATAAGTCCCCCTTGCAATGAAATAGCTGTCAAAGATGTGGAAGCCCAAGGTTGTATTGGATAAGATCTGAGGGTTGCCATTGATCTCCTTTACTGCAAATGCCAAGGCCAGGATGTGCTGGTAATTCTTAGGCACCATGCTAGAATAAGAATTGCAATCTGCATCAGCAAGATATCTTACATTGTGTAAAATTAGAATTACAGCATTTTAACCAATGTAATACTACTACTACTACTACTACTACTACTAATAATAATAATAATAATAATGTTGAAACCAGCAATCCTGCTTTTTTATTGGCCAAAATCTGAAATTTTGTATCTTGCTTTTCTAAAGTAGAAACACAATCCCTGTATTAGCCAAAAGAATATTCAACATAATGCTTGACATCTTTCCCAAAAGTGAGAATGGATTCATTTCTCATACTCATTTTTGGCCAAAGGAATGTTCATCAAAAATATTTAACTTGAAAAAAATAAAATGTATTATGTAAATGGCATATTTAACTTTAAACATGCGATTCTAACATTTACTTAATGTATAGCGATAAATGGTTAGCTCTTTTTGAGTACTCCAACTAACAAAGAAATTGGAAAATTACATTAATCATTTTCAGTATTGCTTTTCTAATGTTGAAGCCACCAGCCTTGCTTTTCTATGGGCCAAAATAAAATTAAACTCCATTGCCTGGCATTTTTAAACATAATAATGAATAGGTTGTATTCATGACAGTAATCTTATGTAGAGCATGCATTTTTAAAGTCAATAGTCTTTTCCCATAAGAGATTCTTAAAGGAAAATAACAAGGTCTTTTTTTGGGTAGCAAACCATTCTGAGCCATTAATCAGCATTTCACCTAATAATAGAAGTATTAGTGGTCAATAACCAAAACAATAAATTATCTAGTGCAAGTGGAGAAGATGGAGAGGATGTGAATATGAGATCAATCAGTACCATTATCAGGAATATATGAAGGTAAAAAAAAAAGAATAAAATTTATGACTTAGGATTTAGTTTCATTTGCAGAATAAGGTGTACAATGGTTTTTAAAATTAATAGATATGCAGTTAGAATATTCAGGCTTATATGTCAATTAAATCAATTAATCATTATTATAGTCTTCCTTATTTTATTGTTATGGGGAACAGGAAGTTTTAACCCATTCAGTATACCATTAATTGCATTGTTATTATCTTTCTATGATCACAATAATTAAACTTAGCATTTGGCATATTGCCCTTGCAACAAAACAAAACTCAACATCAAATTGACCAAAGGAAAGGCAAAACTATTTGATTCCCCCCCCTAAGGTGAAGTCCATTCATTTAATACATTTGGTGACCTATGCAACATCCTCATCCATTTTCCTAAGATTGTGGAACACTGGCAGATGAGGTCTCTGTTCTCATTCATTCAGACAATGGATTCATCTCATTTATGTATCCTCAAAATTTTCTCAACTGCTTCTCCTTCTACAGCTGGGCATTTGCGAAATTACCTGTTTTAATGTTTCTCTTCTCTCTCTTTTTTTTTGAAAATAGCAGAAAATACAGAAGAAAAAATCAGTAAGGCACAGCTGCCAGATTTGAGTTATGGGTCTGACTAAACAAAGGGACAAAGGAAGAAGTCCTTACACCAGCTCTTCAGGCAATACCTGTGGGGGATCTTCAGCGAAGGCTAAGGCATTAGAGATGATGTAGCTGTGAGAAGCTATGCCACCAAGGATGAGGTCTCCTGACTTGTGATACTTGTGAAGTGGAGGGTGTGGATCATGAACATGACACTTCACAATGTGAGCCTTGCATGTTGTGTGAGGTGGCAGTACAAAAAGCATCACCAGAAATATCAGCATCCTGAGTGCAAGGAAAAATTCCCACTCAAGGGATATTACACTATGTCCACTGTCAACTCCCTTATTAGAGCGTCTATAGTTTGAAAGGCAAATATAAATGGTCATTCAGCTTGTAAAGAAGCCTGAACCCTGAATAATATATATTGTTAATCTCTAGGAGTAGCTCTAAACTCTAATTGGTATATTTGCTAAATACCATGTTTCAAATTCTTTCCTATTCAGATTCCACAGGGAGTTTGATAGGCAGCAGAATTAATTATTGCCCTTTTTGCAATGACAGGGTTTCACTGTGGAATAGCAGAAGGGAGCTAGTTTGTCACATCTGAACATATTTCCTCCCCAATTAGTCAGGCATCTAAAAGAGCAAGTCATCTGATGACAATCACCATTGTCTGGAGTTGGAAAACACATGGACATGTCTTAGGAGGACCACACTGAAGTTTCACACAGAACTTTATTAGCTTATTCTCAAATGAGAAGAAGAGATCTCAAATGTCCTCTCCTAGATTGGAAATGGGAGGAAACCGCTGGCGGGAGGAATTATAAGTCACAGTGGGGTGTGGGGTGGTGTCATTTACCTTTAACAAAGATAAGCTTCTCCAATCAGCAGGTCAATTGCTTTCAGAAACCAAGCTGCTGAGCCCTTTGCCTGGTTCCTTGCAACTTCACTTCTAACAGTGAGGGAGCCACCAGAAGGCCCTCAGAACTGGAGTTCCATGTCTGGGCTGAGCGATGGGGGTAGAGGCACATTGAATTGTGGTCAGAAACCTAATGGGGACCAATGTACATCTTTTAGGATCGACGTTACATGGTCCAGGTGGCTGCTCCCAGTCACCAGTCTAGCTTCCACCTTATGGATTAGTTTTAGTTTCTGTGTTACCTTCACATGTAGTCCACATAGAGCACACTGCAATAGCCCAAGTGGGAGTAACCAGAACATATTCCTCTCTGGCGAGACAGTGGCTTAGAGAGGTAGAGTCTCAGCCAGTGTATCAGATGGAGCTGGTAGACAGTGGTCCTGGGTGTAGAATTAACCTGCACCTTCATAGACAGCTGTGAGTCCAAAATGATCCCCAGGTCGACAACAGCAGCAAGAATACTTATTGCAAAGCATTGGAAAACACAAGACTTGCCCACACTGGAAGAGTGGCAGACGCAGTTGATGGACTATATGGAACTGGCTGAAATGACTGGCAGAATCCGAGACTTGGGAGAAGAAACAATGGAAGAGGATTGGAAGAAGTTTAAGGACTATTTACTAAAACAATATAAGTTGTATGAATGTTAAGAATTTGCGAGACTTAGAAAATTTTAGCTCCAGCAAATAGATTTTGTAAAATAGAGATGTAAGTTATAAGTAAGAAAAGGTTGAAGTTTAAGGCAACAGTAGGTTTAAACTTAAGGTATGAGTAATTGATAAAAAATACTTTAAATTAAGGAGTAAAATATGTGGAAAGTACAAAATAAGGTTTGAAACAAGGTAATAATTTGCTGATATTTTTATTATAAATAATGCAGAGTAAAGGAGATGTGAGGAAGTCCAGTTAGTCATATAAAATTGTATTCAATGGTGGAGTTCCTTTTTTCTTGATCTTTTTATTCTATTTCTTCTTGAACCTTTTCTTTCTCTTCTTTTGATGTATTCATTTTGGTGAAGGGATTTTGTATGTATATTGTCTATTTTGCATTTGAAAACTTAATAAAATATTTAAAAAAAAAAACAAAAAAACAAAATGATCCCCAGGTCATTCACCTGATCCTTTAGGGGCACAGTAGCCACATTCAGAACTTCTGCGCACCTCTGAAAATTGTGTTTTATTACTGTGAATGGGAAGGTCCATTACTTTATTAGAAGACTTTAGACAGCTGTAATTTAAGAAGGAGGTATCTTAAGGTGGCCTCGAAGGGTGAGCTTGTTTAGCCCATGCTTGTCTGTAGCCATTTTAGTGAATTGAGGCTAGCATCTCTGATTTTGATCTGATATTTTGGGAGGTATTGTTGGCAATTTAAAGCTTGCAATATATTTTCAGCTTTTTGTGCCGCCTTTTCTTTTTGATACTTTGAGGACTTGACAATTTTGGGAGTAGTTGGCTTGACAGGGCTCCCTGCCACTCTGTTTATATTCTGTTCCCTAGCATCTGCAGTTGACCTTCTGCTATGACTCCTCAGAAGAATAAAGAAGGAGCAAAGCAAAAAGGGAAATCTATGTTTAGCAAGCAACATTCCCCTATACTTGTTTCCTCCTCTGATGAAGAGGGGTCTGTTTTGTCTTCTCTCTTGGTGTGTTTGGATGCCTTAAAGAGAAGAGCAGCTGATTCCTTTCCATTGATAGCACTGGTTTCCTTGTGTGCATAGGGAGCTATGTCTCAGACAATATAAGCATATTGAGACTATGTTATGGGGCTATAAGGAGAAGGGAAGGAACAACATAGGCCTTCCTATTCACCTTCATGTGGCGGCCTTGGAATGGGAGGCCGTTTTCGTTACCCTAGAAGCTGCAGTATTAAAATGAAATAGCCCAGATTCATTCTGCTCACATGTAAATATCCTAATGAATTGAACATTACTTACCCCCAGGTAAAGGTTTAGGCTTGCAGCCCTGACTTCAGAGTTTGAGAAAAACAAAAATGCTTAATTGCTCTAAATGATAGAGTTATGGCATCATTTGGCTCTTAACCATCTTAGCCCTAATATGTTAACAAAGTCTCCCGTAGAATAAAAAGTCTAAACTCTTGTGAAATGAAGAGTCAGTTTATAATTAGCATAATTGTAATTTAATACCAGATAGGAAGACAAAATCATTTAATTCTTCAATTGGTTCTTCGTATTAGCTGTTCCCTTCTGTTCAATTCAGGCTTCAACAAAATAATGTAGCATTTGGGAGAAAAGATGCAGACCAACAATCCAGCACTGGAGGCTAAGATAGAAAAGATCTCCACAGCTACCATGTATTTCCCCTTGGTGCTCAAGTAGGTTGGAACAAAGGATAACCACACACTGCAAAACACTAACATGCTAAAAGTGATAAACTTGGCTTCATTGAACGTGTCGGGTAACTTCCTGGCAAGGAAGGCCAAATTGAAGCTGGCAATGGCCAGGAAGCCAATATAGCCAAGGACACAGTAAAACATTGTCACAGACCCCTCATTACATCCAAGTATAATTTGTTCAGCCACTGAATGTACATCAGCCTCTGGCAACGGAGGAAAGATTGCCAGCCACACAATGCAAATACTTCCTTGTATAAGGGAGCAAGAAAGTACAATGGAATTGGCCAGCCTCTTTCCCACCCATTTCCTCATTCTGGATCCTGGCTTGGTGGCCATGAAAGCCAGAACCACAGTGAGGGTTTTTGCCAGCACACAAGAAACAGCCACTGAGAAGACGATGCCAAAAGCAGTTTGTCGGAGGAGACAGGTCACCTTCTGAGGTTGTCCAATGAATAGCAATGCAGAAAGGAAGCAGAGCAGGAGGGAGAGGAGAAGTGTGTAGGTGAGCTGCTGGTTGTTGGCTTTGACAATGGGAGTGTTGTGGTTCTTCATAAATGTGAAGAGAACTAGAATGGTGACCAAAGAACAGGAAAGAGCAGAAAGGGCTAAACTTAGCCCCACAGGTTCTTCAAAAGACAAGAAGCTTATTTCCTTGGGAATACATAAATCATGGTTTTTATTTGGATATGTTTGTTCTGAACATGTGGAACAATCACTCATATCTGAAAAGGAAAATACATGGCTTAATCTCACAAACATGCCTTTAATCTCAAGAGCAGCGGATTATACAATTTGAATCTATAGCCCTGTTGTGATTAAATATCACGTAATCTCCCTCCTATTTCTAAACACATTATTGCTTACCCTTCTGGTCTGAAATCTTCCCTTCTGGACAGGGGATGCAATCATAGCAACAAAATGGCTCCCCTTCTTTTGCTTTCTTGCTTGAACCAGGACTGCACTGCTCACTGCATAGAGAAATAGGTCTTGTCTAATCCATGAAGGAAAAAAGTGAATATTGATCTTGGAGTCATTATTGGGATGGCTAATTTTAAATTATCTTATTTTAAACTGAAGCTTTAGTCACCACATGAAAGTGGTGATGCAGGCTGACCTTGTCCAGAATGCACTCATTGTGAGGAAGGAACCATGTGCCGTTTCTCAAAGTGAGACAGTGAGGAGGATGAGGTGAGGGTGGGCATTTAATGCTGAAGGCTGTTTTCATAAACAGAAGGCTGGTCGTTTATATTAGCTGCATTGCAGGAAATAACAGTTTACGGCTCCCCTGTATCCAGCAGCTGAAACAATGATCTAATTGTGCCTTATGATAGTGGCAATGCCACAGTTAAAGAGCTTGGTCGTGTCCATTTTGTTCCATTTGAATTATTTAACTCCGGTCTCATTGCCAATATTCAATCAATATTCAATCAATTATAGGAATAAATATTTTTAAAGAAACATGCTATTGTGATGGTATGGTGTCAGGATGCTGTCGTCGGCTCCCGAATGGTTACCCAGGAAAGTATAAAGACAAGGAAAAGTCTCCTACAGTCCTTTCTTTGTTTCAGACTTTTCAGAGAGAGGCTATAGAACCCAACCTCTTGGATAATGGTGTTGTCTCAAGTGAATCTCCACCCTCACTTTTTCTGTTTCCAACTTCACCATCCATCAATATAATCACCTCCTCTACAGGTGCTCCTAAGTGCCCTCTGTCTTTGAGCTCCTTGCTCTCATACTTTTAAGGCTCACCAGGTTCTGGGAGATGGAGGGTCTGATATGATTTCTAATGACAAGGTGTCAGCCAGGTGTTGGTCCAGCTCTCCCATGATTTCCCAACTTTCCCCCTCATCTGTCTCTGAGCTGTGACCTCCCTCAAATGCCTGTTGTAAATACAGTATATGCCATCTACCTCTTCTTCCTCCCTAGAAGAGCCAGGATGGGGAGATGGATTCCACCATTCCTCCTTCGCCCATTACCTGACACTGTAGCCTCCCTTCATCAGTCAAAGTA